TTAAAAAAAAAAAAAAAAAAAAAGAATTTCTTCTGGTGAATCAGCATACCAGCTACAACGGCGTAAAACCCATCAAAGAATTTTTAAACAAAGTATGCTCCACCAAACCGTATGCAGTTATCAAATCCCATTAAAGTACACAACAAGAAAGACGATAACGAAAAAATGGCAAGTATTAAGCAAAAATAACGCCGTCTTTTACCAAAACTTCGGTGACAAACTGATGGCCCAGCTTAAAGCACTGCATATCAAACGGCATAAAAGCTCGTTAAGAGTTTGTTAAGCTTTTCCCTACGCTTAGTTACATTTCTAATCTCGTGATTCCCGCCGCGAAAAGAATATCTTGTAGCTGGCGCAACGTCAATTTGGTCCCATAATCTGTAGCTACTATACGGTCTTTAACTTCCAGACCGATTCTGCAATTCATCAAAGCGCAAAGCGCTTGTGTTGGCTAAGTTTCAACACTTCAAAATTTCAAACATTACTTCACAGTCACATTTTTACCTTCTAAGATCTGAACCTTCTCGCAGAGTTAATTCTTGTATATCTATTCGTTCTTTGACTTCAAATATAGTTTGTGATGGTAAGCATGATCGCTACGGTTCATTTTTGGAACCATGCAGATGATGACGATTATGTCATAGGCAGCAGACAATACTGCGATTATTCACCAAATGGTAGTGGAAGTTCGTAGGACTACGAACTTTAAACTCTTCTTGAGGGAAGCTCTCAAGGGAGATGTCGATAGTCGGATTAGTAAGAGCAGTGTCGGTTGTCTGATCACTCTGCGTTTCCAAAAAGACGACTAGTGTAGTCACCTTTCAGTTTATTCAGTTCTTTTGGATTTGCGACAAGAGTTAGTTGGAGGAAACTAAACTCGATAAAACTTTTGGCATATGCTTAGTATAGTTGCCAAAAGTGTATTCTTCAAATGCAAGCAAATTCTAGTTTTTTAGGGAAACTAACTCGGCCAACGCTGTAGAGAGACTTCTAATCTCTACAGTTATTCAATTTGAGTTAATTTAAGGCTTAACTAGACCTCTTTTATAATAGTAATTCTCTTTTAACGAAAAACCGTAATCTCTTTTCTCTAGAACTCTCTTATTTTGAGCTCTTAATCTCAATCTATATAATTTTACGACAGATAACTTAGAAATTTTGTGAAAAGAAAGACTCTAAAATGAAAGACTATTTTTTCCACAGTACAAAAAATTACAGCCAGTGTGTACAAAAACTTATGAATATAAGGCGAATGGGGGAGAATAGACGGCTCAGGAGGAAGACAGTAAAGTTGAGAACGATACAATAGATAACTGAAAAAAGGACTTTATAAAAGAAGCACTGACCTGATGATAATTCCGAGCAGCATCAGAATTAGGAGTATAGAATAGCTCTCAGATAAGTGTTAGCTTAGAACTTCAAAACTGAGAATTAGTGATAGACTCAATTCTGAGAATAACTTTAGGGATGAAAGTAAACAGTAGACTCAATTCTGAGGGTAGTTTCAACAAAACGACCGATCAAGACGATAGTCTTCCTTCGGATAAGAGCGTTTTTTCTTACAAATTTTATAACAATGGAATTTTCTTCCTTTGAGTGAACATTCCAATCGGCCCCCCAAAACGAAGCAAACTCTTTGTTTCACTCATTCTGGTTTCTTACAAATTTACCATTCCTTTGACTTTTGGGTATCAAGAGCGCTTCGGGTTTGTGTGGTGCAAACAAAGAATTTTGTGTTTTTCAATTGTTTCCTTTACAAACTTGTAGTGTCTGCTGAAATTTGTCACCTAATCTACTGTATTCTGTTCTTGATGCTCCACCGTTCGATGAGGAACATCGACAAATGCTAAACTTCTCTTTATACACTGAGGGTTATTGTTAAAATATCGTTCAGTTAAACTGAGTTCACAGAAAAGCTTTAAAAGCTTTCGAAACTATCCTGAAATTATACTTAATACTCTGAAACTCTACCTCAACGATTATTTGGATGAATTAAGCGAGACGAACCACACGGCCCTAGAACTACATGGAGCCACGTTAAGCTTAATAAAATTACACAAGTTCTTTCCGGAGTTTGTGTCTAAGTTGAAACATTACCCGGAAAAAATTAAGATTTCCTTGTTCACATAACTACTTCGAATCTGTGCATAAAATTCAAAAAAGCACTTTGTTCATGGGTCCTCAAAACTTGAGTTTTCTTGCCAGCACCTTAGTAACGCTCTGTTTGACTCTACCTTCAAAAATCCTCTCGATACCGAAATGAAGCCAGTGGATTTGCTGACGTACTCTTCCCCAAATGCATACTGGTCAGGAGGATGCTGCTGCTTCTCCAGAAATAAGATCCGTAAGGAATTCAATTAACTGCAGATAAGAAATAAGCATATTTTGATCATTTTCCAGTGCAATGAGATTTAGAGACAATATGCATGGTGTTCACAAAAGCTCTCCCGCCGCTAAGTTTCGATTTGGAACACCGTAATTACAAAAACCTGAAAAAGCAATGAAAGGATCCACCTACCGACGGCCTTTATTTACGATAATTTCAAAAAAGCCCCCACCCTTCTACTGGGATTTTCATATGAAATCAAATATTCCTCCAGAATGCTGACGAATTCAGAAGCGTGTTCCCCAACCTCTCAAATACTAAGCAACCACCGACTTCCTTAACAAAAACTGTTTTTAGTAACCCATAAAGATTCAAGAATACAAGGGGCCTCCAACTTCCAAAAAAAAAGAACTGCAGCGCTGATAAAAGTCAGTAAGTTGGTAAGTTGATTGACTGCAACTACAACAAGTACGGACCAGCACCCTCAGAAATGAAGATCTAGGAAGTCCCAGACTGATTGCGTATAACTCTTTCGTAATCCAGAAAACTCGCGCCCTTGGCCTTCAGCCAGAACCTGGACATTCGCACGAGAACCCCACAACCGTCATTGGAGTTACACACGTAAATAGGCAAGCAGCACTCGCCACAGTGTAAATCATTTGCTCCCACAACATTGTTTCTGCTTTACGCTGAGACCTTGTAAGCAATTCAAACTATTCAATAACAAATTTTACTGAAGTTCCTAAAAAATGACAAGGTTTAAGACAACACAAGTACTGCTCAAAAGGGTACAGAACTTTCAATCCTTTTATACGAACCAACGTAAACAAGAATCAAGTAAAGAACGAGAACAGTAGCCAACTCCTTATAATTTACTAACATTTTATGCCTGCTTGTTCCCCATCATCCCATAGGTAAGCATTTTGCGGAAAAATGAGCTAGACCAATAGAAAGTAATTTTAAAAAAATAAAAAAATCAGTAGAAAAGCATGAGAAGTTCTTATTTAGTAAAAAGGTCTAATAAAAAACGGACTAAACAGTCTAATAAAGGGCCAATCTATCGAAAAATTTCGATCCAGCAGATTTAATTACTCTTCCTGAAATACTCTTTGCTTTGTTGTACGTCAGGTTTGATTGTTGCACTTCCTGGCTTCCAACCGGCAGGACATACCTTGAAAAATTCACTATATTCCAATCAGAGACTTCAGAAGATAATTTTAAAAAAGCACTTTATAACAACAATCTTTCTAAAAACGCGAAACCGCAGGATGCCACAAAAGCAAATCGCTAAAAAGCCAACCTCGCCGTGTTCTTCAACATATTGGAACGCTTGGACAAGTCGGATGGTTTCATCGACAGACCGCCCAACGGGCATGTCATTAATAGTTATTTGACGGAGGACACCTCGAGGGTCAATGATAAAAAGGCCACTGAATAAATCCACTTGATAAATCAAAATAAAAAACTGAGTGCACCTAATCTTTTTTCAGTAGCAAGGTACTAATTAATATCATCTAAATTGGTTTGCTAATTGTAATGACAACGCAAATGATGAAAAAATTCACCGATATGCCACTCCTTCATCTTCCTTAAGAACTCCATACGCCCTACTTATTGAATGGTTAGTGTCTTCAATAACTGGGATGTTCATTTTGCCTAACCCGCCGTCAGTGCGAGGTCGCTCTATCCAAGCCAAGTGAGAGAACTTAGAATCTGTAGATGCTGCAATCGGTTGAACATTGAGCTTCCGGAATTCTTCAATACGGTCCGAAAAGGCGATAATTTCCGTAGGGCAGACAAAGGTGCTGTAAATTAATTTGGCTGAACTACTGGTGTAAGTAAGCAGTTATAATGTTTTACTACAAAAATGTGTTAATCGATATGTCAAAATTTTCTGAAAGAGAATAAATGATTCGTAGCACTGAACTGCCGTGTAATTCCTACAAAATAAACACGAATTAGCTTATAACAGCCGCAACTAAAAAAAACGCTATTTCCAAAAGACCATAAAATAAAGTATTAAGAAAATCAACGACACGACGGAGGTGTAAAACATCGTGCACAGTTGCCGTACAACAACACGTACCGGAAAATCACCCAGTGTCTATGGAGTAAAAAAACCTTCAGTAACAAAAAACTTAACAGTTTTTACAAATTTAAAGAACTGAGCTTACAAGTCCAGGGGATAGAAGAAGAGGACCACCCATTTCCCTTTATAATCAGATAAAGAGATTTTCTTGAAGCTTCCATCTACTACACCTTCTGTCGTGAAGTTTGGGGCTGGTGCTCCAATTTGGACTTTCACTGACATCTTCTAAGCTTGACAGCAGCAGAAATTCCTGTAAAACTTCATTGTAAATAATCTCAGTAGAGCAAACGCGGCTGGCACTGAAACCAAATAAATTCAGCAAACATTAGAAGAAATATAAAGCCGCAAACTATTTGGAGAAAACCTCTGCAAATGGTCTTTTTCAAACACATAGTGAATAAGCTCATGTCCAGAAAGCAACGACACACAACTCTCAAACAGTCTTTAGTTTCCTCTCTCTTCTCCTATACCTTCTAATGCATGCTAATAAAACTTAGACAAATTCTAAGATAAGTAAATATTTTGTAGGCCATGTAATGATCGAAACTATTAATTATTAAGCAAAACTGCTCGGCACTCACCACCCTAAAACATGAAAAACAAAAGCTCTTCTAGTACAGCATTTTCATGTAATTTTACCCGTGATAGAAAAACAGTTTCGTTTCATTATACCAAACACTGCTAGAACGAATATAAAAACAATATCCACCACTGGTAGCTAAAATAAGCTTCAAGTATCTGGATCGAAGGACTTTACTGACGACACAGAGTGATAAACATAGAAGAAGCAAGCATAATAAGAACCTCTTTTGCAAAATTTCACTTAAATTATTCAGCAGCAAAAAATTTTTAACCAAATACCTAATAAACCATACGCACTGAAGCATGTTTCAATATACCAGTACCTACGTTGAAATCAAGACACTGTCATTTGCCAAGGAGCCAAAATACTGCACGAACAGACAGTACAGCTTCACTAGTCACATCAGAACTTATAATATCATAAAAAATACACCTTTGAATTTTGATATTTTGTGCAACAATCACGCTTTCATAAATACACTCTTCATAAAAAATTTGAAATGTCGTCCTTTCAGTAAAACGCTTTTAATTCATAATTTCACCGTGATTTTTCGTACAATTTGCTAATATCTACATTCCACCACTTCTTTTAAGCCCGAAGGTGATTTTTCTTCAAATATAGTAAAAATTAGAAAAATCCGTTACGATTAAATGGAACTACAACTTCTTAAAAATGACCATTTCGAGCAAAAATTGGATTACTTTTTCTTGCACTTTAGAACAGTCAAGTATGATAATTTCCTGGTGTCTCCGGATAACACGGTAGCAGTGCGCCAAAGCCGCTGGAATTTCTCCAGAAAAAAGCACCTTCTCCCGATAACATTACTACACAAAATTAGAATTGAACTCTCAAATAAATATACCATCGCATTCCCGATCAATCCCTGAAAACCCGACCAAAAAGAAATGCCTTCTTCTTATAACAACTAAAATTTTTCGAGAGCAAAGCTTCATACAGGTTCGGTCTCAAATCTGCCCCCATACATTCAGGATGCTCACACTAGCATTGAAATGCCAGTTGAACTAAGCTAGTCCGACTAAGCGCCAGCGGTCGGTTCCAAGTTATGCGTTGTCTTTTAAGCTAATTCGCGTCCCTTAAGCAAACCTACTGCGACTCCCCCTTAGAGCTTCCAAAGTAGCATATCCTGCTTTCATAAAGAACGCCCTGTGCAGGCCAGTGGTTTTCTGGAACTGCAACAGCCTAACAAAAAAACAAGAAACAACGGAAAATGCGTACCTGGAAAAGTCGATCCAGAACCTTTAACTCAAATAAATACAAGAGGCTCGTTCTTGGAACTTTCTAATACGTAGAGCCTGGCTCGGGAATAAACTCCCCTGACCGCTAGAAAAGCTTCTGGAACTGCAGCAGGTTTGCATAAGGACCACGAAGTTGCCCAAAAGAACAACATATAGCTCAAAAACCGACCAGCGGCTCTTAATTGAACTAGCTTAATTCAACTGCGCATTCTCAGTTCATCCTATAACTACACTGTCTCTCTGCCAAGGCACCCTGTACGACCAGAAACAGATTCCATATCAAATCTGTAATGAAGCTTCCCTAACGAAGAAATGGAATTGTTCCAGCAGACAGACATTTTATTTCGACGAGGTCCTTGCCAGCAGGCTGAAAGCGAAAAGACCTAGTGACGCTCTGATCTGCAAATGATCCCTGCGATTCGCTGCAGACGAAACGACTTGAGTAGAGTGAATTTCGAAACTCCGCTAAAGTCCAAATCACTCGTTTGTAAAGAGTTAACTCTGAGAAGGCAAAACTCTTTCCTACAAATGTTTCTTGGATGCCGCTTTGCATTTAGTTTCTATGTTTATTTTATTTTTCTGAATGCGGGTAAAACTGTTTGCTGTAAAATTATAAGGCAAATTGTTAACCAACCAAATATTTTTTGCGTTTTGACTAAACCAGTTTTAGGAGTTCATTTGTATATTCATTCTTTACATGAATGCGTTCATTCTTTACATGAATGAAGTCATGAATGCGTAAATGCGAATAAGACAGCTCAGAAGATGCGCTACCTTGCAAAACTAAAAAATCAGAAATGCATTATGTCACTATTACGCTTGCCAAGCTTCAGTAGCTGCTTCCGACGAATTATGGTACATATCAGCAGCATGGCGTTGAATGTTTGACTTTGAACAACAGTTGACAAAAAAACTTATCATTTTTACATAAAATCAGTGTCATCCACCAAACATTTCCACAGCAATGAATAACGGATTGTTCGTACTAAATAATGAAAAGCGTGATACGGGGAACAAAATACCTCGATACAGAAAAACAGTCAAAGATCATGCCTATTTTTAAAAAATGCTACAAGTAACTCAATCCGCAGTTAAACTAAAAAAGTGTGTTTCACCTCTACATAGAATATCCTGGGTTATTTTATTAGCACCTCATCGGCAACCATACAGACTGAATACATGAATAAGCCTTGAGAATCAGCCTAAGTGTTCCCCCAAAACCCCAGATAGCTTACAAATTGCCTTGCGGTTTCAAAAGAAATTGTTTTACTTGCATCCAAAAACAAGTCAAAACAGAAACCGCACGCCACACAGAAAGTGCAAGAAAAAAACATAAGAAACAATTCTGAAAAAGACTTCGACTTCTCAAACTTGA